ATTATTTGAATTTCATTAGTTTTTTTTTGCAGATTTATATTGATATTTATTAAAGTATCTTGACATCTATACCACTTAATGTATTATGAGTAACAAATGTGTGACTCTTAATAATTGCATGTATACAAGATACATATGTAACATATTTATACAGACAAACATTTATAATAAGTGTGTGATAACATACAGTGGACAAAGGGCTACATATGCACGTGTTTTTATACTGAAATAATTAAGCTTAAAATTTTATTTATTTTTTAATTTAATTTTATTGAGAAACAGCAATGAGACAGTTTCAAAACCGATTAATAGGACAGTTTCAATAATTAATACAATGCATATTGTTATCTTCTTAGTGGTTATTCATAGTATAAGATGCAGACATGATATCCTGTCCAAATACTATTAGTACAAATCTTTATTCTCATTGAATTAAGAGAAAGTAGTTGTATAGCTATCCCAACTTTTTTGTATATACAGGTACAAAATGGTCTTTCCTATGTATCTCCTTTTTTCGTTTAGTTCCATCAGAGATGGGTATTCCATTGCCATTTAAATATTGTAGGTGTGTGAATTCAGCAAAATAATCCAATATAGTCCCAACTGAATTTCATTAGTCTTGAAGCACCTATTTTTTGTGTTGGCATGTATTACAATGAAACCTCACATTATGCAGGATTTGCATAGAATCCTCCAAAGCAAGACCCAAACTATTCACCACCAAGAAACTTTCCCCTTTTACTAGATTCTTGAAAGTCATTCAATTATTACATGTATCAAGGGTTCATTTTTTGTTGGTAATACACACACACACACACACACACACACACAATACTTTATCTGTTCAACTTTTGAGGAAAATCAGTGCTTTTCCCAGGTGGGGGCTATTATTTTTTAAAAAAAAGAGGACACTATGAACATTCTTTTTCAAGCTTTTGTATTAATATGTATTTTCATTTCTCTAGGATGAAAACATTATGCTGAGTGAAGAAACTAGACCCAAAGATATTTCATTCTCTTTGTACAAAATACTGTATCATTTCTAGGTACAGGCTACCTCTTTTTTCTTTATTTTTCTCTCTGTGGATGAGACTAATCTATGTGTGCCCAAATATGTTGTCACTTTTCAGACTCCATTTGAATTAGTCTCTTGGTAGAAGATGACATTAAATTTGGGCAAGATACCAGGTCTGCAGGGGCCAGGGAGATGGCTCAGTAGAATAGGCACTTGCCTGGCAAGCCCAAGAGCCTGAGTTCAATCCCTGGTTCTGAGAAAAAAAAAGATACCAGGTTTGCTATCTGTGAGTGGTGCTTTTCTTCCCCTCACAAACTTCCTAAGTACCCAAGGCACTGCTTATCCACAGATGCCATTTTTATGTCCTCTGGATTTACTAATAACAGCAGAGCTTGCCCCTATGCATACAGGAAGACTGATTATAAGGAGGATTATGGAGTCTGGGGCTACAGGAGTTCAGAATGAGGTGCTAAAGGGGTGTGCAGTGCAGAGAAACTGTGGCCTGAGGAAACAGGGCTGAGGATCTGGAGAGCTGCTTCAGTACCTGGGCTGATGTGTTCTATGTCTTAGCCATAATATTCCTGTAAAGCGATGCTACATTACAAAGGAAAAAAATTAAAGCAATACCATTAATAACATATAGAATGCATACTGTATTAGTCTGTTTATATCAGTATCCAAAGCAAGCAAAATGTAGTGTAGCAAAGTGGCAAAATAAAACAATACTTATATTTTACATAATAAAGCATAATGCTTGTAAGATGAGAAAAAAGAGGATGTGGTTAGAAAGAACTTGCTCTGGAGAGTTCTTTGTGCTTTGGCCAACATGCAGTATTCTGATTTGGTGTACAGTTACACAAAACAAAACAATTTGAGCTATGCATTTATGTTGTATACATTTTATGACAGGTATACTGTATTTCACCAGTATAACCCCCACACACTTACACACAAATGAAATAACAAGGACCACCTTGCTTAGGTAAGCTGTTCAGGACAAACTCCACATGCAGAGAGATTGTTTCAGCCTGAAAGGTCTGTAGTAAACCTGGCAACAGAGACAGCTAAGTGCCACCAGGCCAGTACTGGCAGGTTACAGAGGTCTCTCAGTGTGGCCTCCATGTACTGGTGAATTTACTGTGGAAACTAGTGGAGGCTTTCTAATTTCTCCTTAGCTGAAGTTACACTTGAAAGAGTTCTTAAGAGATAGTTTGTTGATACAACATATTGAAAGTTCAGGAAATTTTATATAATCTTTAGGATATACTAAGAACAGTGGACAAATCATTGGCTACCTCCTCATGCTTGAATTCCAGATAAATCTCCCTCGCCACTTCAGTGTTTCTGACTACATTTCTAATCCTCAGGAAAGTAGGAAGGAACTATCTGTGGAACTACGGACATACTCAGATTGAACAATTCTCAGCCCTGAGACTCTTAGAAAATCCTAGGAGGCAGTAAGTGTCAAACAAAAAAGACCATGTATAAAGGGTCCTCAGAGACACTTCTTGTACAGTTGTACAGCCTTCTCAGATTTTCACACATTGTATCGATATTGTCTCTGTCTTCTGTCCCCTCTAGGAGGGTGAACTCTAGTTTCCACCGGGTCTCATCTGTTCTGTTCTCTTGTCCGAGGGAAGAAGAGACAAGCTGTTCTGGTCTGATCATTGCTTCAAACCCCAGTGAAGAAGAAACTGTTCTTTCCCCTCTAGAGTGTCAGTACAAGGCCTGTGGCTATCAGAGAAACTCCAGGAGTCTGAAGCCAATTACTGCTGTAGTGGAACAGCAGCTGTGATTTTCCTCTTGTTTATCCTGCTTATCACATGAGGGTCCACCTATGCTGAGATCTTGTACCTTAAATCCTGCTAGCCACCACCAGCCTTGAGTCACATATTCAAAAAGTTTGTTATAGGAAAGTGTTTCAATCAGCAATGAAATTCAGTAGGTTTTGCTGTTACCTGTGATGGGTAGAACTACTTTTAAAATAATAACTGAAAGGGATAGGGGAATAGCTCAACAGACTAAGCACTTACTTAGGTAAGCGCAGGGGCCAAGGTTCAATCCTTGGCACAGCATGCCATGCTGGCCCTGCCCCTGGGTGCGCTGAGCCAGTGATGGAGTCTGGGCATAGTGACACATGCCTGTAATCCCAGCACTATGGAGGCAGAAATCAGGAGGATCATTACAAGTCCGAGCTGTGTAATGAGACCCTGCGCACACACACACACACACACAGAAAAAACCTTAAAAAAAATAATAACTGAAAGGTGAATTTCCATCCAAAAATTATAGTCTTTGTTGATTTGCATAATAATGTTGGAGATACAAATGAAAAATCTTAGCCTACAATCTTATATCTTCTAATTACATACAGGGATCATATTTAACTACTTCATCACTCTTGGAGTTGAAGCATAATGCAGATATTACTGTTTTAGACAAATTGTACCATTAAAGCACTGTGAGGGAGAAAGGCGTATAATGCGTAGAGAGCCTTACGGAATTAAGTAAGGTTCAAAGCAAAAGGGGAAATGGGTTCCTGAATACTTTTTATTCCAAATGATAAAATTTATGACAAAAATTGCTATCAAGTGCCTGAAGGTGATAAGGAAAATAACTAAAAGCATCTAGAAAAGGAAAAGAGCAAGCTTAAGTTAAAAAAAAATCCATATTAAGGTTACTAAGACATGGAGTAAGGATTTGAGGGAGATTTTAGACGAAAGTAAGTTAATAAAATACAGTTCAAATATAAGCAAGGAGTCCAGGTAGACTGACAAAGCTGGAGGAAGGAAGTTTGAACTGTAAGAAAAGTGGTGTGACAACATCATGATTTTTGATAAGACAGGGAAGAGAACCTTCCCTCATTTTTTGAGAACTGTCATTAGGCAAGGAGTGAAACAGCATTCCCAAGAGGAAAAGAAGAAAAGAGGGAAGGGGAATGTAAAGATGCAAGAGGAGATGCCGGATTTTGGGATCCTGAGGAAAAGGAGAGGGAGAGTTCTGCTGAGGGATATGTACAACACAAAAGCAGTGTTGTTGTATGTGTGTGCACGCACGTATGTGCATAGATGTATGCATTGTATAAGTATTTGATAATGACACTTCAAAGCTTCACCAGGGCAGCAGATGTTCTCAGGTAAGCAGTTAGCTAGTGAGTAGCTTGTTTTCTTCATACTTTTTATCTAGAAGTGAGAGCTTGCTCCCTTGACGTGTGATAAACTCCAGTGTGCCTTGGGCTCACTTCCACACATCACTCTTCTTGTTCTCTACTATTTAGCCAGCATCTGGCTTACACCGCCATCCCGCTTAGCTGTAGACTACACTGTACCCTGTTGCACCTGCTTCCTTCCTGTTGTTTTGCTCTAATTGCAGACTCTTCCCTTGGTCCTTTGCAGTGAGAGCAGAGGCTTTAGTTGCACTTTCACTGCTGTCTGTGGAAGGCATAGCAAAGACTAGAGAAAATAACAACTTTTAGAAAGAGATATTCATGTCCTTGAAATCTACAGCCTAACTCACCTCCACAGGAGATTACATTCAGCTAGCTCTCTATCTAATAATCTGGCCTGACATCAAGTGAAAGGTACAAGTTTTTCTCACTCCAGAGATAGTCTTAAATTTCCTTCTCTTAACTAAAGTCTGATCTTAACCACCAAGGGAGGAAAGAATGTCCCTTCTCAGCCTTATTTCTGGACCTGCTTCCTTCCAAGGTAACTAGCAGAGAGGAACTTCATGAAAGTTCTCTACCAAAGCCTTGGAGCCTAATACGACACTTCTTCACTCCCAGGAAGTATTTATTTTACAGCATTGTGCCCAGTCTTCTTTTTGCCTGTATTCTAATCATTTATATTTATGTGTTTTCTCAAGCTTAAAGGTCACCTGCATGTAGATCATTCTCAATCTTGCCCTGACTTGTCTGCTTCTGTGACAGTGTGTGGCAGAAAAGACCATAAAGCTTGGCATCAAAATCTCAAGAGGTAGGAATGGAATAAATCAGACCCAGGACTTTTCTAGCCAGTCTTTTCCCCCAAGTTTCCAAGAGAAGAGATTACTCAGTCATTGGTTTACTGGGAGCAGAGCATGCTTTTTAAGGGCTTCTAGAGTATCCCCACCCCTAACCCTTGCTGAGGAAGCCCAGCCTTGAAGGTGTATAAGTTGGTACTCTTGAAGCGTCCTTCCCTGACTTGGTCTTCTCTCCCTCCAAAATGGACAAGTCCCTCCTTCTGGAACCCTTCATCCTGTTCTGCTGCATTAGGGGTGAGTCTTTAGGGTTAAGAGTTGATGTCATGTGTCCCATGTACAAGGAATGAGGCAGAGTTCCCATGACAGAGGCCCTCTGTGCTACACAAGCATGACAGGCTGCCACTCCATGCCATGCTTTCTACTTACAATATTCCAGGTCTCTGAAACTGTACCTAGAACAAATGATCCTCCCTCAGAGAAGGAAATAAGTGGGCTACTGAGCAATTGAGAGGATTTTCATAAAAGCTGTGAGATGGGGTCTGGGCAAGGGGGTCTTCACAAAGTAATATCTTTTTTCCCCCCTAACAGTGCTATCTGGGTCTCTTGGAGAAAAACCAAACAAGGGTAAGTAGAAATGTATGAGAGAGGAGAGGGTAAGGGTGGGCTTTGGGGACCAAAAACAGTGCAGAAATACATGTTGAGTTTCAAAACTTGGAAACCTCTTCCGTCAAGATAGAGCCAGTATGGGAATTAATTAACTGACTAGGTTAACAGTAAGAAGTATAAAGTCCAAAAGCAAATGAAGAGGGGAAAGTGAAATGTTTACCTTTCTGATCTGGATGTCTAAATCTAAAATGTAGCGCCTTTGTGAATTTCAGCTGTTTGTCCCTCCTGTCAGGCTCCACGCCCAGAGAGGTAAGAATACCACATAGAGTCCATGGGGGGGGGGATAAAAAAAAAATGAAGAAACCCAAATGCACATTTATCCTTTCTCTTCTGGTCTGTGCTACACCGGTTGGGTAGGGAAATTTGAGAAGCCTGAAAGGGTGAAGAAAGCTGAAAGGAGAGAGGAGCTACGAGACACCACGACTGGGTGACTAAGCTTTGAAGGAACAGAAAGCACCTAGCATGGCTCTAGTTAAGAGAGCAAAATAAGCCCTGACAAGAGAAATTCCAAAGGCTCCAGGAAGAGGTAAACTCAGACAAAAATGTGGATTTTTTTCTCCTCTCCAGCATAGATGATGACGTGGTTTTTGCTGACGATATCTCTAGTGAGTATGAAAAGGACCTAATCTGATCCTCTGACTCTTGGTGATGATCCTGTCCCCCACTTCTTTCATTCTTTCACCTTCTCTTTCTCAAGCTAAATTCATGAGAACATAGATTCCAGTCATGCCCAGGCTCAGCCTATTTTAATAGAGGAAGATGTTTCTGCTGCACAGCATTCTGGGAAAGCCTCTGGGCTTTCATGTGACTTCAAACTCCAAAGGGGGACACAGGTTCTTTCATGTTAACGTTATCTCCTCTCACTTCTATTTTCCTTTCTGTCAAGGTAAGAAAATTGTTCACTGTAGGATGTGTCATCTACAATTCCCTGGAGAGAAGTGTATGAAAGGATATGGAAGATGTATGGCAACAACAGAAGAGGCCTGCACAGTTGGGAAGATTTTCAAAAGTAAGATGTGGGCTGGGAAAAGTAAGACAGGGCAGAAGAAGCAGAAAGCTTATATGGGCCGCTGTAATAAGGAAGGACGTCACTTTAGCACAGGCAGCTTCACGCTGGGGATGACTGATGTCTTTATCTCAGTCACATCATATATCCTAACGTGAAAAAGAAGACGTTCTTACACTTAGAGGTGGGATATGTAACTAAGGCAGCGATTTTCTGAGCAGCCCAGAGAAAACAGAGGAGACAGAACTAAGGGGAAAGGAGAGGTCTAATATGTGTCCACTGGCAAATAGCCAGTTGCCACAGTGAAGGAGGCAGTTTTTTGTCTTAGTGGCGACCTGGACTTCCCTGTGGGTGGTGCCAAATTGTGGAATTGGAGGGACCAGTGTTAGAAAGAGACTGGCTAAATGCCCCTTGATAAGTAAGACTGAACATCATAATCTCTCTAGTTTCCCACCCTCTATTTATTCTACACAATCCCTTGGCATTTTATTTTTTTGTGAAGATTCTCCATTGGAGCCTTAAGCATTGGCTATCTCTAAATTGCTTCTCTATCATTACTCTTTTGGGGGGAATAACTTGTAACATCTTGCAGTACTGCACATGTAAGTTACAGAAGCCTGAACTTCACAAGGTCATTCTTAGATATGGGTGTGGGGGGAGAGAAGGATGTTTGAGAAGTCTCAGGGCCAAGCTTGCTGACCTGCTTCTCCTCTCTTCTGCAGCGGATGGCAGCTTCTGGTTAACTTTCATGGGCTGCTTAAAGAACTGTGCCAATGTAAGGAACATACCGTGGAGCATCTATCGGGTGAGCTTCACATGCTGCCGGGGCTACGACCTGTGCAATGAAAACCTTTAGAAGTTACCACTCCTTCTGTGGCTCGAACGTCTGTGCGGCATTTGGTGTCAGCGTCTTCACAATGACTTTCTTATAAAGCCACCCTGAAGAGAATTGCAAATACATGTCATACGTGTTTGCAGCTTTTGTATGTGAAAGTATAATCACTCTCCTTTTCTAGAGTGGCAGGCTCAAAAAATGAATGAATGAATGAATAAATGAATATCCTTGACAGCAAGATCAATATATCCTACATGTGGTTAGAAAACCTAGTGCTATCACCAACCACGTGAGAAAATAATACTTAATAAAAATACTTAAATTTCAAAAACCAATTTCCTCCTCTCTTTTGTTTTTCTCCTTTGTTTTGTAGTAGAATTCTCTCTCTGTTTCTCTCTCTCTCTCATTCTCTGTGTCTCTGTCTCTCTATCTCTGTCTCTCTGACTCACTCTCTGTCTGTCTGCCTCTCTCTCTCTCTCTCTCCTTATCCAACTCAAATATAAGGATAAGTATATGACATTATCCTCATGGGGAAAGATGAGGTAACGTGAAAAATCACTGAATGTTCTTGGATTTTGTTCATGAATGCTATTCCGAGACCAAGGAGAAAGTTAGTACATAAAGATGAAGTTGTCTCACAGACACAAAGAAAGAAAAAAAAATCTACATTTTTTTTATGAGCAGAATATATTTATTGAGGGAAAGAAAGCTCCTGTCTGAGAGAGGGACAGGAGGGGAGCTGAGCAGGTTGTCCTCAGGTAGCTGTGTCTTCCAGGGACTTTTATAGTGTAAAGCCTTGCGGGGCTAGGGCCAAGGAGATGGCTCAGTGGAATAAGAGCTTCCCTGGCAAGTGCAAGGGCCTGAGTTCAATCCCTGGTTCCACCAAAAATAAATAAATAAAACTTTGCGGGGCTAAGGTGGAGAAAATGGGAACTCACATAGGTGGGCACGAGGTGGGACAAAACTATGCTCAACCAATGAGATTACAAGCAGCATTGCTCAGGCAAAATTGATTAAGTCCAGGCCCAAATGGGGAAGGGAGTCACATAGAAAGGGGGCATGAATGTAAAACAGGACCTTGTCTGGTAGCCAGCAGATAATGACCCCCCCATGGCTTTCTCAGGGTGAAGATCAATCCCAGATGCTAATCTTTAGGGAGATCAGCATTTGCTTGATCTTTGGTCTTTAGGTCTGGCTCACAACAGGAGCATCCGTCCCTCCACAGTTGCAAGGCATCTCATCTTCTGTGCTGTCTCCTTTGAGGGCCTGGCCCTGTCTGACTGCCTATAATATTTCTATCTAATTTGGCTGCCTGACCCACCACAGTTGACTTCCGAGATGCTCTTTTCCCCCTTCTGCCATGTGGTTGCCCCCACCCCACGATGACACTGGAGACTCTTCTGCCTCTAGAACTCCCGAGTCAGTAAACTTCTGTTCCTTTAAATTGCCTACTCTGTGATATTGTGCTACAGCAGCATGACATGGACTGACGTGGCTGCAGATACAACGCTCAGAATTGATTAAGGAAACACTAAGCCAGGGAGCCCTCTGAGCAGCTGCACCCTGAATTTCTTCCTGAGTACCTGAGATTCTAGTGTTTCTCTGGGGGGCATGTGAGGTCCTAGAAAGAGCTGTGAACAGTGCAGGTGCACACCCGGACTTGCAGGTCTGCTCAATCCTCCTCTTTGCCTTCTGGGTTCCAAGCCTGGATCTTGAGCTCGATTTTTCTTGAGGATGCTTATGTGTCATATGGCCTCTCCCCGGAAACCTTCAACAACAGGTGATTTTTCATAAACAGTTCTGGAGGCTGGAAGTCCCGTCTCTCTGGGGTCGCCAAGGCAGATCCTTCTGCAGGCTCTCTGTCTGTTCCAGGTCTGGAGCTGCCTGCATGCCTGGTTCATGGTGCCTTCTTCCATCTCCAAGCCAGCAGCATAACATCTTCTAATCCTCTCTCTCTTTTCCTCTGACTGCTGCTTCTAGGTCACCTCCCTTCGCTCAGCTCCGACCCCCTCTGAAGGACCCCTTGTACATTCATCTCACTGCATTGCCTGGCCCAGCAGTGGCTTTGGATGTTCAGGTTTAATGGCAGTTTGGCACCTTGCAATAGGTAAGTGGGTTTGGGGTTGCAGTTTGGGTACTTGGTCTCTAAAAGGTTCCCCAGCACTGGCTGGGTTGACCACCAATTCTACATTTTTGAATGAGGCTCTCTTTGGGGCAAGAGTTGCAAATACAGGAGAGGAAGAGAAATCAATGGGGTTCTTGAATAGTGCCTGCATTTGACTTGCCTGGCAAACTCACAAGGAAGTATCAATCTCTAGAAAGAGAACTGCACAATGCTTCCAAGAAAGTGGGACCACAAGCAGCCACAGACATATTTCCCTCATGCATCACAGGATGGAGGAGGTCATTTGGGTCTGGCCAATAGATGGTAGCATTTATAGATGGCTGTCCCATGAGTACATGGCTCTTCTATACCACATCTACCTCCCATGCCCTTGTGCTTCCAGGATGTGTAAATTCTACCACTCTAGAAATTGGAACCAAGATGCCCATAAGAGTACAAGAATTAAGGTTGGGCCAGATGTATTGTAACCCCCAAAGAAGCAGGCAGGTGTTAGATTGTGGTCCCCTCAACCAATAAGACAAGCCAATAGTGTTAGAACACTATTCCATGCAAGCAAGCAAGCCCATACTAGATGTGGTTCTCCCCGCTCCTGGGTAGAAGTAAGCAACCCTGTGCTCAATTTGCAGTGCTCCTCTGATGAAGAATCATGACCAGCCACCAACTTCAAGTTGGCTATACATTTTGTTTCCACTTGGCACAGAGCAGCAGAGGTAGGGACTGAGCAACTGAGCTGATCCTGGATGAGGTCAATGCCTAGAAGAGAAGGGAGCAACCAAACCCTGTGGCTGCGACATAAAGTCCATCAATACACTTGAACCCCTGCCCTATGGCTATATCCATCAAAGATAGAGTATTTCCCACCAAATAAAGGACCACAAACTTGCCTCAGCTTGGAAAATAACCATGACCTGGGGTAAGTGGACAGAAGAATTTCTGGTACAGGGAGGACACCTCAAAAGCCCATAGGCCCTAAAGCTAGCCAGAGACAACTATGTTGGGTTGAATCTCAGTATTGTTGATCTTGGAAAGAAATAACTCAATCACAGGATTTTTTCTTTACGTAATCATTTAAAAATTTTCTTTTATCTTTTTTCATCAGTTGTTTTAGAGGTTTGCATTTATTTTCTTTATTCTCTTTAAGTTTCTTTTCTCTTTTTCCCTTTAACTTTTTTCCTTATTATCTTTATTTTCTATAATTTGCTCTTTGCCTATTTTCTTATTTTTTTTCCTTGTGTCTGTTCTAACACTATTGATTTCCTTTAATTCCTTATTAGAACTCCTATCTTGTTTTTCTTTTCTCCTTCTCATATCTTATTTATTTATTTATTTATTTATTTATTTATTTATTGTGATCCTGGGGATTGAACTCAGAACCTTGCACTTGCCAGGTAGATCTTTATGCCACT